ACCACCACCAGGAGCACATTCGCTGTCATCTCTAACCTGTAAGGATTAGATTAGAACACAAGCAAGAAAAGACAAAGAGGGAAAGAGGGAAGTCTGGTGAACTTGACGAAGCCCTTCTTCTTGGGCAGAACAAAAGAGAATATGGAGGCAGACATCTGCATAAATCAGTCCAAAGCAAGTCAAAGAAATTCCAGCAGAAAGGGGACTTTTTGCCCGAATTATGGAGCTAATTATCTCAGTCCTCCACTTAAGTGTTCCTGGAGAGACCTGGCTGAAGAATGCTTTTCCAACGAGCTGGCAGATTCAGAAGTGGAGAGAAAATGTGTTATTGTAACCACAGCTATGGAGCCCAAGCCTGGTGGCTGCCTCTGTCCAGAACACCTGTTGAGAGCATCCAGGCTCAGACCAGCATGGCTTGCTGGGGGGAAAAGGGGGGGCTTTTGAGAAGATCATCATGGTCTGCACGCTGGCAGGAGAAGAATGCCAGCTCCCAAAGAAGCCACTCTTGGTTGCTTTTTAAAAATCTGTACAACTTTAACACTGTCCTAGAAGTTATAGATGATTTTCATCTTTCTATTTAAAATGTATCTTTTTTTTAACAACTTTGAGTAGTAAAAAGGGCAACTTATTAATGAAACCCTTCTGCCTTCAATGTATGAAATTAAAAGATTATTATAACTACAGGCAAGAAAGCATTTGGATTATGTGGCATTTGGAAATGACAATAAAGATTATCCATATGGTCTAATGTTGTCAATGTCTTACATTGCATTAGCAATCACCTAATATGGGCGTGATTTTGATTATGTGGCTCATTTTAAATTCTGCTGTGTCCTAGGTCAATCAGTCAAGATGATTTACTAGAAAGAGCTGCCATCTTCTTTTGTAAATGCTGCCGGGTACTTAGGCAGAATTAGAATATTTTAGGACATAATATCTTTGGTATTATGGTGCAATAGTCTTAAACCTTCTCACTTTATACCTTTTCCTTAAGCATCTCTCATTTTATTCTTGGCTGTCCCAGGTACATAAAACAACCTCCAGTAGTAAAAGCTGAAAATTTTTGCTTTATCTGTTTATTTGTATGTCAGGTCTTTTACATTTTTATGGCTTTGTCCAGGTATTTGTAACTTGAGATTATGAGTTTTGAGTGGTCAGGGAGCAGGACTCAGAGGCCAGAGTATCTCTAAAAGAATTGGAAATCTCTCTACCTTCCTTGGCCTTTTTGCATTCTCTTCCACGGAGGGAGGGGACATAGGGGCTTACCCCTCTGCTAAACTCTCCAAGGGAAGCCAGCAACTTGAAATTTCTTTACCTTCTGCTCTGCTGACCAGCCTAGGTGAGGACCTAATCTGGGGTCATGTGGAATTAAGTCCCATCACAGCTCCCTGAGAAGTCGGGATATGCCCTCCTGTGCACCTGAGGTGTGAGCCCCTCTTACCCTAGTCAGGCTGAATGTCATGGCCAGCAACCTTTCTGCACATCCTCCAATGATATTGCTTTCTTCCCTTCTTGCCTACTTTTGTATTTTAGTTCAATAATATGCCTCGTAGATTCATCCTTGGATTCTTTCAGTTTTGTTTGGCAGGTATTTACCAGGGCATCTACTCTCTGCCACTGAATGTAGAAAATAATTTAGTAAAAAGTTAGTAGCTCTAGAAGCTTATCAGTAAATAGATTATGAACACATTGTACTATGGCCAGTGGTCATTTTAATTTAACATGTAGTAGGAGAAACAGAAAGTAATATTGTAGGCTGTGTGTTCCTAATATCACTGGGTTTTTGAGGATGGACCGTGGGTATTTTTCATCTCTTTGTCTCTGCAGCTGGCAGAGAACCTGACATCAAGAAGGCACCATAAATAGATGTTAGGGATGAATACGAGTAATTCAATAGAAGTTATTCCTGATCGTTACGAAGTACACATGCCAAAGCCCCATTTTCCATTCTCATGCATGTCTATATAATGAACTCTTTGTCCTAAGGAAACTAGCCAAGAAGCGGAAGGAGACAATGAGCAGCACGAGGCAGGAGATGACCGTGATGGTGAACTCAATGGACAAGAGCTATGCGGAGCAAGGCACCAACTGTGACGAGGCGTTCTCATTCATGGACACACACAATCTGAACGGGAGATGTAAGTGCACACGTCTTACCTTCTGGTACATTTCTCTGGTTTTCCAGGATGCTGGATAGGACTAGGGCATAAAAAACAAAACTCCCTGAAGAATTCTTATGCCCTATTAGTTTCTCCATCCCTTTCAGCAATTCTGAAAACTCTTTGTGCCATGGGTTGCATAGGAGAGGAAGATATAGCAGAGATGATAGGGCCAGACCAGGGAGTGCAGGAAGCCACAAGTAAGTTTCTCTGAAGCCTTAGTGTTGACATGAAGGCTTTTCTCTTCTTGAAGAGGAAGACACCTGCTTCTCATCACCCTTTTTGCAGTCGAGATCCTGTTTGTAAGCTAGCTAGTTGTGGAATTACACAGGGAAGCCTGTTCTAAACAGCTCACTAAATGGCAGTAACAAGTTAATTGTTTATTTGTTTAGCTGACAGGTTCTGCCTTTATTATAGGGCTATTAATGGCAATTAATAAGTTAAGCTATATTTCCACTTTGCAAGTCTCACATCTCACACCAGGTGGATAAACCAAGCTTCAGCTCATGCCCTCCCAGACTGCCACCTGTGATCCAGGTACAAGGCATTATTTTAGAAAGCTAACAATTCAGTTGAGTATGTGAAGAACAAAAGGAGCTGTTGTGGTGTCCCTGGTGATCCTGGAGCAGGAGTTTAGCAGACATCTCTGTCAGCTGTCACCCCAGTGGGGAGGGTGGCTCTCTTCATCCTTGGTCATTGCTTTTTGCCCTTTAGTATCATTTTCAGTGTAAACGACATAATCTGTATACTCCAGTATCCCACAAACTATATCCTTTTTTCATAGAATTTTCTCTTTTTTTGTATCAAATATTTTATATATACATACACATATATAATTCATTTAATGGCCAAAATAAAGCAATTTACGATACACTGTTGTGGGCTGGGGTGGGAATAGTCCTGCCTATCACCAACAGGGTTAGAATCTTGGTAGTAGTGGTTAGTTCTTCAACGTCATTATGAAAGGGGCCACACGGATAGGTGCTCTCACTTTCTAGGATAACCCGTTAATGTTCTAAATGTCCTATTTTGTGGTGAAATTCCTCACGCATAAATTTACTAGGAATTGCCTGCCCAGATGACTAGTTTCTAGGCTTTTGAAGTTTGAACAACAGGAGATATTTGCCTCTGGTCAGGAAATTTAATTTGGCAGTTATTTCTTAAAAAGTGAATGTATCTGTGGAAATCCATAAATGCTCAGGCAAAGAGGTTGCTGTAGAAATCAGTATCAGCTTCCTTGGCTCATCTGCCACAAGCCATTATTTTATGCCTCCCGTCAATAAAGCTGATAGAGGAAACACAGCTAGGCCTTCCATTTTCCTCCCACTCTGTGAGCAATGACTAGGTGCTGTCCATTCCCCAACCATTGGAGTGACCGTGACGGTAACTTTATGAACTACTGGGGAAGGAAACGTGCAGGAGAGGGCTTCATTAGACCCCTAGGCTTCCAGTCCCAAACCTATTACAAGTCTGGGTATGTCTGAGGTCTTTTAGGGCTGGGAGGTGAGTAGCTTTTAGAAATGAGACAGAAAAATGAAATTGGAGAATTTAAAAATAAACACAAGCATATTTATGAGAATGGGGAATAATCTGCCTACTAAATCAAATGGGAGTTGTACCATCTTCTTTTAATATGTTATACAAAGGGGAAAAATAAATATGTATAGTAGGAATGGGTTTCATTTTTATACTAAAGACAAAAGTATTTAAAATATATTTTAAAGGGTGAAAATAAACAGCTATTTTGTATCTGCTTTGCACACTTTTGCCAATGACATAAAAATGTCTGCAGGTAATAGACATTATTCTTGCTGACCCTAGCACATTTTATAAGTACTCAGGTTTTTTGTTCTTATTTTCATCAATTACCCTCTTTTTTCCTGGCAGTTTACCATAAACATGCATTATAAATATGATACCTCTTTATTTTAGAAAAATATCTTATAAATGACAACCAGCCTGGGTTCTGGTTCTTGGTGTGTCATTTATTAATTCTACATTTTAAAAAAATAAACAGTGGTAAAAAAAAACACTGTCATAGAGGAACTTCTCCAGGAGAGCTAAAATATATTAACATGTCAGAATAAAGATAACGTACAATATCCACAGGGATTTGGTACTTCTTCCCATAATAAAATGATGTAATTGGGTATTAGTGTCCTGATCTGGAACTTTAACATCAAATAAATCATATAACTACATCAGAAAGTTAAGATTTAGACTTACATTTAACCAACTTGAACACTTGAACACATTCAAATTATTTATTCTTATTACTTGAATGAAATTAAAATGATTTTAAAGCACTAATCAATTAAGATGTTGAAGACAGTTCACAAACTACTTTTAAAAAAGGAAGTACCCACTTTCAAAGAAATCAGATTAATTGGATGGGATCGACTTTCCCTCCCAATAACAGAGAGGGAGAAAAGGTCTAATAGTTAAATCCTGAGTCTTTCAGAGGACTGAAAAATGTGCATTTTTAAAAAGACTGAAAAGACTAATAGAACAATATGTAGGCATGCAGCTTTCACCTTAAATATAGTGCACACAAAACATCACCTTTATTTTTCGTAAACCAGGTCATAACCTTATAGAAAACTCTCAGAATATCCAAAATAGGAGGAAAGAGAGGAGTTAGCAAACTGTGAAAACCTTGACTTTCAGAAAATTCTCCAAAATCCATGTGTAGACACCTCCTCATACCCTTAGTTATTTAAAAAAAAAAAACAAAAAACGCTGGCATGATACTAGAATTCTACAAGCAAAGGCTAGAAGTCAAAATAAATAGAAGTCTAATGAATTTCTCCATTCAAAATGGCGGCAGAGGTTATGAGGATTTTTCTTCATTTGTAGAGTAAGAAAATCTTTTAAGTGATAAAAGGGTGTTTGTCCCCTAAAGTACAAATGATTCCCTGGAGACAGCGGGGAATGACAGTATTTACCACATAGACTTCAGTAGATGTCTGGCGTTTCTTCAGTCAAGTCTCTACCAGCACGGTGTCCTTCTGAGTGACCTCGGAGGGCTGTATTTTCAGGTACTGCCTCTCTGCCATTGCTGACTAGTCCTTCTCTCATTTACAGCTGTGTCTTCACCCTCGTCCTTTACAATGAAAACGAATACACTGAGCACATCGGTGCCCAATTCTTACTACCCAGGTAACAGATTTTTCCTTTGTTCCATCCATTCATAACCCCTTAGCAATCAGAATCAATCCGTGCTCTCACTTTGCTGTCCATGATGCTTGATATGTTTGATGTGTTGTAACCCGATGCTTTCTATGGCTTTCTGCGGGAAAAGTGGGGGGCCTTTCATCAATCATTTACTGTTCTTTCTCTTTTTACTTTCTCTGCATTGACCTGCTTATGATGTATGACAGACCCATTTGTGCCAACTGCAATTTTAGGTGAGAACATTTCCCTTTATCACAGTTTACTGCAGAAGTAATTTAGAAAGTCAGTGGCCACTCTCTAGGAGGCTGGAGTTCTGTATGACACAGGGATTGTAAGCAGGACAAGGGGGTTGTGGGTGGCCTGGAAGAAGGGCATAGATAATAAAAAGACTCTCCAGTCTCCATTGATAAGAAGGGTTTGCCTGGGGTATGTTGGAAATGCTACTAAAAGATTCAAATGAGCGAGCCCAGCTCTAGTATTTCCCCTTTCTGTGTTCAGAATTTAAAGTCAGATTTGATCCCAAGGGAAAACACAGTATGTCATCACTCCGCTGTGTACTTCCAAGAGCTGAATTCGGTAATGTGACAGTCGTAAAAGTAAAAATCACTTCTTATTATTTTCACTTATCACTAAGCTCTAAAAACTTCAATTTCAAAAATAACATTTTTCTAATTATGCCAAATGTTATGCAGAAAAATGATCACAGCAGAGTCTGGGTCCCCCTTCTCAGAGCCATTCAGGGCACCCCCAGCATTCCAAAATGTCTGTCACACAGTAGAATTTCAAAGGAGGTGATGTTCTCAGCAGCAAAGTGACAAGATGGCACTTTATAATCACATGGTTTATTATGTGTCATGGTTTATTATATGTCAGATGTCACTAGAAATGAAATAAAATGTTAGCCCAGTGGGGCAGAATGCATTGAAAATATAAAATGTTCCCCATGGGGAGCCGAAAAAAATCCCATTTGTCCAGTGTAAGAAGGTTCTGGAGAAATGGCATTACCTGGCTCTGATAACCAAATAAGCATGAGCTGCTGTTGCATTTGAGATGCATCAATAACCCAAGTGTATCACGGCTGTGTTCTCTTTCTACTACTAACCTTACCGAGAAGGAGCACAACACAATCGACTTCAAGGTATATACCAATTCATTGTAGCAAAAGTTCCATCCTCAGCTGTTTGACTTCTGCTTCCTAATTCTCTTTACAAGGGTTGATATCTTTGCAACATAATTTTTCCCCCTGTGCTTCTCTTTTCTCTAAGTTGTTGTGATTTTTGTAGATAGGGCGATTTGTTTTTCTTACGGTATTTTCTGGGCTTGAGCAAGTTTGTTGCCTGAGTTACAAGTGAACTCAGACAGAAGTGTAAGAATGGACATAAACCCAGATTTTGGGGGTTCACAAAAATGAATACAGCTCACTAAAGCCCTCTCCCCCTTTTCATGCCAGCTATATGGGGAAAAGGCTGGTTTTTTATTCTTTTCATAAGTAAGGGGCACAGGCTAATTTTAGGCACCCGAACAAAGTAATCTACATGCAGATGACATTTGCAGAATCTCTTGATAGGCAAAGATTTGTGATTTCTTTGTGTGCTGTGGCATTCAGTCTGCAGCTCCTTTAGTAGATGTTCTGACCTTGGGGGAGCTGGAGTGGGGAGGGCTAAGACATGCACTGTCAGAGGGAAGAAAATGTTCAGATTGCACAGCAGGATTAAGATAAGCTCATTAAACAAATATCATTTTTTACAGTCACTGCTTTGTTAGTACAAACACTAAGGACATCTTTTAAACTTGGTTAGGCTTCTTTACTGAAAGGGAATCACTTGAACAGACAATTCAAGTAGCAAAAATGATGCACATCTGTGAAAAATAAGTCAGTCAGATTGACAAATAACTGTTATCATGTCTGGCTTATATATGTACCAACACAGCAAATGGTGGTTCTTGGGAACCGTTCCTCCCACGGTGTTTGGTGCAGATGTGAATCTCTATATTGCATAGTAAGGATTAATGAAGTGATCCCTTGACACCATGGGAAGATGATAAGCTGGACATACATACATCTACTCTGGCACTTTTGGGGAACAGCACTATTAACAATTTATACAGACAAGAACGTTTTGCTGTGACTTGGAGCTCAGCACCCTTAAATCCTGTATTATCTCCTCCTTTTATGCTTATGTGCTAAGGTGCCCAGCCTAATGTATAGAGCTTTAGTATGCCTTTTTGTCATTTTTATTGCCAAAAAAATGAGAGAGAGAGAGAGAGGGAGGGAGATAGATGTAGATAAATAGATATTGATAGACAAATTTTGATAGATGTTGATACTGCTTAATAAGTAGATAGAACACCTCACACCCCTCAAAAACATAGCACTCATTTCAATTCTAGATTTTTCAGCTGGTTTGTTGAGAATTGAAGATAGTCTATGAAAGAATATAGGTAGAATTAATTCGCAGTTCTCCAAAAACCATCAGAACTGTTGGTGAGAAGCTTTATTTCTGATTTCCTCCTAGGCGTAATTTTTAACTGAAAAAATTGTTGGTAATTCTTAAACCAATATAGGAAATCAATGTCAAATGATATATTTTATCAGTAATTATTCTTTTTAAGTCAGAGCAAACTGATTAACCACTAATTTTGGTGGCATCAAGAATTTCTAATAGTGTGGGTGACCCAGTTTCATATCACAGATGGCACGAGAAGCCTTCTATTCCCTCTTTGATATCTATGTACTCGATAATAGCTCTCCTTTCTTAGATGGCCTCGGTAGTGTTTAAATGCTTTCAGACAGGTCCTGCACACTAGTAATGAGGTGGAGATCATAATGCAGCGGGGCATGATCAGTACGGTGGTAACAGTGCTGGCCGCTCTGGGAATTAAACCTTCCAAGAATGCCTAGCCCTAGGACCAGAGCCCTACCAGGCTGCGGTGTCTCCACAAGAAAGGCCCAGATGATTCATTTAGGGGAAGTTTAGAAGGTCAGTCCACAATGGAGGGCGTTTAATTACATTCATCCCAAAAGGTACAAAACGGAGAGAATGAAAGAGGCACAGGGGGGAAACTAATTAATGTTCCATTTATTTTAATATAAAGAACAGAACTTCCTGCTGGAGTAGCTAAAAGCTCCATAGAGTCTGTCCTTCAGCAGGGATCCTGTATCCCACTTTATGAGCTTGGCGGTTGCCAGCAAGCAAATCTGATGTGAAAATGTCCCGGTTTATTTGTGACTGTTCTAATAGAATGGGAACATCTGAATTGCTAATTTCAAAGCAAATCCAAATGAAAACCAAAATCATGAAATCAACGTACCACTCCTTTTTATTTTGTCTTTGTGTCTTTAGCCACCTTGTAGTGATCCAGGTGCCATTTCAGCAACAGCAACATAGCTACACACTTGTGTACCACCTTCCATACCATGCATCCCCAGGTGTTTTGCGATGTAGATAGAACTAAGGTTTGAAAACCAGGCCCAGCCAACCAAGTGCCCTTGAACGAAATTTCCTCTGGAGCTGAATCTCCCAGTTAAAAAAAAAAAAATACCCTTAGCTGAATTCCCTATTGATAAACAATCTGGTCATTTTTTTTAAAAAATGAACATATCCTTTTGTATATATGTTTTAATTCATTATACCTGAAATTAATTTTGATTTAACATTCTCATTTTAAGTGAAGTTAGCATTACATTTTATGAGACATATCCTCAATCACAAAACAGCTAAAGGGATTCAGCATTATAATGAGCTAACCTGTAGCATGTGGAACTCTTAATCTAATAACACCTTCCTGCATCAGACATTTTTTAATAGCCACAATTTCTGCAGTTCATTAATCTAATGTACTAGGAGTCTTCCATTAAAATACAGCCTCTTTAGGCTTATTTGACCAAATTTTGACATTAGTTTTATAGTACAATTTGGTTGATGTGTTCAAGAAATTTAAATGAGAAAATGTGTCGAATACAAATAAGCCTTATTTAGTCATTACTTAGTTCATGGGGGATGAAAAGCAATTATGATACTATTTTAACCTCCTTTTTGTTTTTGAGTGCTTAAATAAAACACCCCCATCCTAAGGTGATAGGAGGATTGAGGCTTTGACCTCTGATCACCTACAGATAGAAAACTTAACTATAAAAGTAAAGCACAGAATAAAAACTACCTGTAATTATTCACACAGTACTATTGCTTATGCCCTGTTTCCTTTTTCTCCTCCTCTTTTTCTCCTGATATGTACCTTCTTAAAAGTGCCAATAAATGGTAAGTTCCCCCATTCGCCCTTGGAAAGGTGTGGAGGGAATGGGAGTATGTGTCTTATCTGTAGATTCTGACAAAGCCAGCTGGTTCTGCTGTGTGTCGGCCTGCATGTTAGCTCTTGTAGAACATTCCATGTGTCATGTGCTGGTCCACAACCTTCTGTCAAGCTTTCTGACACTGGAGCATGCAAGTGACTCTTCATCCGTTTTCTGTTTCCACTGTCTTTGGATTTCATGTGTCAAGTCCACATTTCTGTTGCTAGCTTTATAAGCCAACCCATTTTGTGCACTTTTATTTTGCTCACAGAACATTTGTACGGAGTTTATTTACTTCATCATATAAGCTAGTTAATGACTCTTCGGAAGAAGACAAGGCTGGTTTTGTGCCAGGTCTTGGTGAAGTTTCAGACCGAAACTTCTATAAACTTGAGCGCCCAAAGGCTAAAGGGTTCCTACCAACTAGCTTTGTAAAAGCAATATATCGTTTGGACTGCTTTGTAAAAACAAAGATTTCTGCCTCATTCCTATCAGTATTGCCAACCCCATTTAAATTTCTAAACATCTAACCTTTCTTTTTCGCTGAGCCACTGTGGGGATTGTTGGAGCCGTAGGTGGAGGGGATGTCAGCGGCAGCTTCTGAGTGTTCTCAGTAACCCCCCACGTAGCCCATTGGTCCTCCCTCATGCCCACCATGGCCTTCTTTTCCTAGACGAAAGCCACACGATGGCCAGCGACACCAGCAGCTTGGTGCAGTCGCACACTTACAAGAAGCGAGAGCCGGCCGACGTGCCCTACCAGACCGGGCAGCTTCACCCCGCCATCCGGGTGGCCGACCTGCTCCAGCACATCACGCAGATGAAGTGTGCCGAGGGCTACGGCTTCAAGGAGGAATACGAGGTGAGCACGAGCACCTTCCTGGGCGCCATGCCTGGGACTGGGCTCCCAACTCCTGTAGCCAGCCGGCAGGACCCCAGGGGGCTGCCAGAAAGGGACCTATTTACATCTGGTGGTGAGACTCCTTACCGGAAAGGTAACGTATGTAAAATGGGAAAAGGAGGACCACTTCACCGTTTCCCTTCGTCCTCGTAAATATGCAACGAAACAGAGGCCAAGCAGGCTATTTCCCCATTCATGATTACGCTTCTTGGCTTTTTCTATTATTAAGTCTGATGTTAAATCCTAATAATGTGGCGGTAGTTATCCAGGAAGAAACTGTCCTCTTAAAACAATTACAGACCAACCAGTGATGTCATGTGGTGGAGATTAGGCCCCAGGAAAGGAGGCTGGCTAGTGTCACGGCCATGACAGCCGCTGTCCTGCCGGCCCAGAGTGCATGGCTGTGCTGAGATCTAGTGCGGGCAGCTTCTGGGGACATTTCCAGGCACAGTGATGTTCTCTCACCTTCTCTAAAATGTAGGGCTCACTTTACCACCTCAGCCCCTAGCTGATTCTGTTGGAAAGTCGTTCAAGAACTGGAGAGAATTAGTTGATTTGAAGAAGTAGGGTTCAAAGAAGCATCCCATCACTTGTGTGTGTGTGCGTGCGGCTGAGGCCGGTGAGGGGGAGGAAGATAGTGGGGGTGGACCTCTCTTTTTACCTTATTAAATAAAATGAGTTCACACGCATTGGTGGAGAAAAAAGTAGCAGCTTGCATACAGTACAAACAAGATTACATAGATACGGAGCTTTGGCCATTTTAGAATGTGTCTGCGATACTACATCTCCCTAACCAGCTCACAGTTGGGAAACATTTTGTCTGGAATTAAGAGTATTTTAGAAATCAGTTCCTACCACCTCTGTACCCTATGAGTTTCAAACTCTGCTTCTTTCCCCCCTCGGGGACACTGATGATACTTCATTTCATGCCCCAGATGCTGTGTTGTCTTGGGTTTAGTCCCACTTCTGAGCTGAATCGCCAGAGATTTCATTATAGCAGTCAGAGCTGAGCCATGGTTGCTTTTAAGAGTGGGTCTTTAGGCTAACGTGGACAAACGGACAGACACCCACTCTGCTCTGCTGACATGAGCATCCTCCTTGCGTTGCCAGTGACCTGAGCTCAGAAGCCTGCTATGCCAGGGAAACTGGGCCTCGAGGGTTGGATTTCAGTCCAGGCAATATTTTCAGATAAAGTTCTGCATTTTAGCAACCCCAAAGTTCTTAGATCTACCTTTAACAATTTAGCTTGTAATTTGGTGAAACTGACTGCCTTTGCATGTTTCCTCATGCACTTTTAAAGGCTAGCTTACGAATTAATAGGATTAAGAGTAAGACTTCCAAAAGCATTAATCTTATGAAAGACAAAATTAGGTTAGTGAGAAAATATAAGCCTAATGAATAGAGATGATGTCTTAGTTCTATCCAATATTCTGAATGCAGATATTGCTCAGATGTTTATTAAAGATGTTAATAATGTCAAAGAGATTAGTTATAGGCTCAAATACAATTCATAAAATCACCTGAGTCCCATTTTTCATGGACTATATAAAAATACCTCAAGACTTCCTATAACACACTATAGATGAGGCATATTTGAAAACATACAAAAAAAAATCATTTCCCATTCATATCTCCTGAAGAAATATGACTTGTAAGTGCAAACTAGAACAGTTTATACTCATTTGAAGCAGTTTATAATTAATGATTTATTAAGGGTTGTTATACTGAAATAAAATATTGTATTAATTAATTACATTTCAAGAAACTCTTTTTCTCATTCTAGCTATTCATGGATCAGAGAGGACTGTAATATATACATGTATCAAATCATCACATTGCATACCTGAAACTGACACAATGTTACATGTCAGTTACATCTCAATAAACTGGGTGGGGGGATAAATACTTTTAAACACCAAGACCATTATCAGTTTGTTGGGTTTTTTTAAAGAGGGAAAGAAGAAGAAAGGGAAAAAAATTAAAAAGCACATATGCTAGAGAGGAAAGCAGGAACAAACAGGGAGGTGTTATGAGGAGAATTATGAAATGGAAGGTTCTGTAGGGGATAATCCTAGTGCTCCACACACACCTCTGTGAACCGTGCAGCTGAGTGTGCAGCCTTTCATTTAATCCACACCGTAAGTCAGGAGTGCCCTGGCTGCCTGGTGCTGTGTGAATCTCACTGTGGTTTGGGACACAGGCTCTGGGGCCAGACTGCCTGTATTCCAGCTCATCTCTGCATCTCTTTAGCTGTGTGACCTTGGGCAAGCTGTCTACCCTGTCTGGGCCTCGGTTTCTTCATCCATAAAATGGAATACCTATAGTGTCAACCTCAGAAACTTGTTGTGGGGATTACCTCATTTAGCATCATAAGTGCTAGACTTGAATCTGGCATTTAGTTGAAGTGTTAACCAGTAAAAGAGAAAAATACTAACTTATAATAAGATCCAAGAGAAAAGTTCACACCGTGTTCTTTACAGGGAGATTGTGTCATTTTGTGGTTTCAGTTCATCTCTGTCATTTCTTGTGTTCGGCACTCTGAGGATAGAATAAGCCAGTCACACTATGGCTCAGTACATTTTTGTTTCATCTAAAACACTCAGTGGTTTCCTTACCATGTATCATGTATCATCCAAAGTTCCCATTAAAAGGTAACTTAAATGAGTAGGTAGGTTTGATTCTGTGGACAAAGGGTTTGAGGAAATAAGTATTTCAAAATAGATGCTGTCACCTTTTATTGCTAAAAGAATATTTTCATATCTAAATTAGGAAAGTCCTAGGGAATGGTGTGACTATAGACCACCAAATACTGTTTATTTTTCTAAAAAAGTTTCTAGGGTGTCTTTGGCAACAAAAGTTGGAGGAGAGGCAGTTAATTTAACAAGTTGCTGTGCTCGTTAATTCGCCAGCGTATACTACGCAGGTGCTGTGAATCTGGCACTGCTGAGTGCTGGGGACATGGAGAACTTCCTGCCCCGCGCTCACCCTCCGGAAGCTCACGCCACTGGAGGAAGCAGCCATACAGGGACTACAGCAGGTCTGTAAGCTTAAACCCCACAAGTGAGATTCACAGCAGTTCTTTCAAGGCCCCTGGGGGCACGTTGGCTAGTCTGGGGTACCAGACTGAGCGAGGATGACTCTTTCTTCAAAAAAGTGAGTGGGAGTTGGCCAGGAAATGGAAGATGGCAGATTCCAGGCAGACACAAAAGCTAGAGAATGGGGTGTACTCCAAAATGGCAGTAGTGCTGTGTGCCCAATCCTAGGAAGGGCTGGGGGTCACGGGTAGTCAGGCTCTGATCACAAAGCATCCCACCAAGAAGCTTGAACACCACTCTGGAAGCCATGGGAACTGAAGAAAGACTCAGATAACATGAGTCTCTCCTATATTTGGATGGAGATTCATTCCTGCACTATTTAGCACAACCTAGTTGTTAAACATTATTTGTATGAGGCACACAGAAATTGCTTGAAAGATAATCAGCACCCAGAAAAGTACAGGGGAGGGGGAAACTATTCACTGAAAAGTGTAATACGAACTAGATTGCTCCATTCCCATTCAAAAAAAAAAAATCTATGGAATGCTTAGCTTCAGGATTCACTGAAACAATGAATGATGTTACATCTCTGAGGATAAAATGTCAAGAAAGTCTCCAGTTACTGCTGTGACTCGCCAAAATGAATCGCTTGGTCTTTCTGGTTTTCTTCAATCCATGTGTATTGGGGAAAACCAGCCCCAATAGTGACTTTCTCTATGTTGACACTGTTTCAACCCGTCTGTCTTTATCTTTTCCAAGACAGAAATGTCTGAAAATTGTCCTAAGCGCTGGAAGGATTCATTACCGTTCAAGTAGTCGCCAGAAGTGTGTCCAAACCAAAGGGAAGACATGTGGTGGGGACGAGGCTGAGCAGCACTGAGTGCAAATTTTATATTTGATTTTGTTCTAACAAGATCGTCATATGGCATATCTCACCAGGGAAATGCAGTAATTTGATTCAAAAGAAACTCAGACATGAATCACAATAAAAAAGTAAACATGCTGAATTGAACAGAAAATGGCAGGTTGTCATCAGAGAGTGGATCAGGGATCTCGGGAGAAAGACGGAACAGAAAGGGCAAGTTTGTTTACATTGCTACAGAAGAGGAGCTGGTTCTTTCTCCCAACAAGCAAAGAGCAGTCTGTGCTAACCCCTTGGGGAACATCTGTGGGTTTACCAAAAATGGGAGAAAAAAAAGATAGCTACGCAGGAGGAATACAAGGTAGGACTGAGCCATCCTCCCCGCCTCCCCCCCCCCACCCCTGCCCTGCCGCAGACTTGGGCCTCTGTCCCCTGGAGTCCCGATGACTCTGCTGCTCCTCCCTGAACTGACAGGCCCCATTCTAGACACGGGTGTCCTGTGCCCTGTCACTTGTCACTGCCCCAGGGAGCCTCAGCGGGGACCCTGCGGGGTTGGAGAGCAAATCTCTCCCCCTCTGGGGTCCCCAGAAGGCCTTCTTTCTTTCTCTATTTTATGACTAATTCGAAGTCCCTTTGGATCTCCAAGCAGAAAAGACATTAATCTTACGTAGGACCACAGTTGCTTAATTCTGAAAGAACACATTTTGCTATCACTGTAAAATTAAGAGAAAGGAAGGACAGCACTTTAAAACTACTCCCAGTTAGGGCATCCGGAAAAACACAGATGGCACTATTTCATTAGCTAATGGTATTGCTCTGGGCCACAAAAATTTATTTTCCAATTACTGGAGCTAAAACTTACAAACCTAAGTAACGCTTTGCAGCCTGCTCTTGAAAAAAAAAATAAGTGTATACATATATATCTAAATATATTTAGAAAAGTATTCTTCTCATCCCACTTACTTTTCTCCTGTATATTTCTCAAGGGTATAAGCGCTGGCGATTGATTTTGTAATTGAACATGGAGACTGTTTTTCGGCTCAATTTAAACTAGGAAATTGAAG